CGATCGGTCAACCAACTGAAGAAGAAGAGTTGCTGCTGCTTCCTTCTTCTTCGAGCTGATCGACCAAGCTTGCACCTTCTTCCTTTTCTGCTTTTAAACTCACCCGTTTCTATTTGTGTGACTTCGGCACAAGTTTAGTGCTCTTTGTTGAGGCTGCTGCTGCTGCAGATGTTTACGATCAGCGGTGCCATTCATTGTCGCCAATCAGCTCTGCTCACACATCTGCCCGTCTGTCTGTCTGTCTGTTGCCTGCCAGATGACACTTGACTGCTGTGTGGTTGCTCTTCCAGTGACTGGAGCAGCAGCAGCAGTTCAATCAGCAGTTGATTGATTGTCGCCTGTCTGCAGAGCTTTTGCCAGCAGTTTTGCCAGTCACCACCGCCACCACCGCTTACCATTTACCAGCACTCTGTGCAGTTCAGTTCAGCTCAGCTCAGATCAGCCAGAGACGGTTAACTGTTTGTTGCTGGAAGACGCTTTTTCTTCTTCCTCTACTTGAACTGTTTTGATGGCAATGTGAGTGTCAACGGTGTCTGTTTTCTCTGCTATCGGTGCACCAGAAGTGCTCCACGCTACTATTACTTATTACTGTCATTGGCCGATCTCTGTGTTTACGCCTTCGGAACGCCTTTGAAGTTTTGGTTGTAGCTTATTGATGATATCGGCGTTGCACGAGATCACATTTTTTGTTTGGTGCTGGTTTCTTTCCACTTTTTCCTCTTTTTTTTGCTTCCGCGTAAGATGAGCTTCTACGAGGCTGTGCTTTCAAAACAGGTCGGTATATTATTGCAAAATTATAATCTGGTGTTTGTTTTGTTCGGTGCTCAGGAAGAAGAAGAAGGGGTTTACTTATTAGTCAGTTGCTTTGCACTGCTTTGCTCCGATTTGCATTTGTGTGTCTTTTCAGAAAGGTGCACCTAATTTGCATTCCCTAGCAACAGCAGCACCAGCAGCACCTGTGCACCATCATCTCCCATCTCTGGCACTCATTTACTGTTTGTTTCTCAGCTGTCAGCGTAGCTTTCATTGCCATCGCCAAGCAGCAGCAGCAGCAATTGGTGTTATCGGTCCCGTTAGAGTTGCTCATGTTTACCGATGCATTGCCGATGTGCCTTTTATTTAGGCAGCCAGCACTCTCCTCTGTCTTGGCCTTCATCTTCCAGCTCGTTCTCCTGCACTTTCAATACATAACGGGTTGCTACTCACTCACTCAGTCAGTCACTCAGTTACCCACTTGAAGTGAGTGAGAGGACGCAAAGTGTCTCATATTATGAGCACACAGGACGACAACGTCCATGGGAGATAACAAGAGTGTGTGAGAGGATAGGATAGAAGGAGAGGACGTCGAGTCGATGTCGACGATGACGTGCCCCTCTTTCTGTGCTGCTTTTTGCTGCTGATTTTTTGTTGTGTGCTGTAAGTGAGATTACTAAACTACTGAAAGAAGTAGAGGAAAGGCGCAGTTTGAGTTGAAGTTACAGTCTGCTTTGCAGACTTTGCTCTGATTTTTCTTCTTCTTTTTGTTTTTGCCTGCCTGCCTGCTCTCTTTCTCTTTGATTGATTGATTGACTTTGCGTTTTAGCTTTAGTTCGTGTTTGACTTTTGCGCCTTAGCCTCAAAACTATGTGATAGTCTTCGAGGTAGCTGATCTCTTCGTCGAGTTTTGAAGCGTCTTTTTGAGTAAGTTGAAGCAGCAGCAGCCACTGTTACTGTCGCTAACAAAGTAGGCTGTGGCCCTAGTTTGAGTGAGTGAGTGAATGAATGAATGAATGAATGAATGAATTAAATAAACCTCTTTTTCTGCTACTGCCATTGCTGCTGCTTCTGCCTCGGCAATGAACCACCGCGAATCATACACGCATCTCATCACCGGATAATTAATTCGACATCTCTTTTTCTTCCTTCCTTTCCTTCCCTTTACAGCTGCCAGCTACCAGAACAGATTCAACAACAGGAGGAGCACCGCACCTCGGGCGATGTCAGCACAGCAAAAGCAAAAACAAAAACGCAAACGAGCAGTGAGCTGTACCTGATCAAGCTGAACCTCTTTCGTCGTGGTCGCAACCTCTTGTGCTCCACTGGCACAAAAGTCCACAGCCCGTCACCTAATTCCTCCAGTGGCAGCAAATCACCTTCTTCCCCTTCTTCATTTTTCGAGCAGACCAAATCGTGTCCAGTCACTGCCCCGGTCGACACTGACCTCGATGTACAGTTCTCGCTAGACCAATTATTCGAGCAGCTCGAAATTGTGCCCCAGTCATCGTCGTCGTCGTCGGCATTCTCAGCCTCAACTATATCTTCACAGTCTGCAGAAAAAGAGAACAGAAACCTCAGCTGCAGCAGTTGCGATCGAGTGTTGCATTTTTCTCCTGATCGGCAGTATCGTCCAGTGCTCTACAACTTCCGCCAACAAAAGAAGGAGGAGAAGGAGGAGAAAATCGACAACAGCAGTTTTTTTGCCGAAGGAGAACTGGTCAAAGAGAGGGCCAATGTGCTGGTGAGCCTGTGCGCCGGCCGGCACTCGCACGATCTAGCCTTTGCCTTTGCTCCAGTTGTTGATCGTACCGGAAGTCCTGAAAAACCTTCCACCATGGTGGCAGAAGAGGGCGGCACCACGGCGGTGGTCAGCTCCGCTGGCGGTGGGAACGCCCCCAATCGGCTGATTCTCCTGCGACCGCACTCAGTGGGATGTCGGTACTATCACCACCATCACCCTCACCCTCACCCTACTCCTCATCACCCCCTTCACCTTAATCTTCACCCCCATCACCCCCACCAGAAGCGANCTCCTGCGACCGCACTCAGTGGGATGTCGGTACTATCACCACCATCACCCTCACCCTCACCCTACTCCTCATCACCCCCTTCACCTTAATCTTCACCCCCATCACCCCCACCAGAAGCGGCCCAGCTCGGTGAACAGCTCCAGCAGCGGCCAGTCTGACCACACCAAAGACTCTGACGGCGATTGTGGCAGCGGCCTGGCCAGTGATAATAGTGCTGATAATGAGCACCAGCAGGGAGGTGGGAGTGGCAGCAACAGCAGCAGCGACTGCGAGTACGGGCCCGGCTTTGTCGGCAGGCTCTGCAACAAGTTTATGACCATGTACTCAGGTGGTGGGCAGGAGAGTGCTGCTGTTCAAGGAGGTGCTCAAGGAGGAGTTCCTGTCCCGCCCACCTCTCCTTCAGCTGTTAATGGAACTGGAGCAAATGGGCTGATTAAGCGGTGCTCCAGCATGGAGGAGCTGACCTATCGAAGTCGAAATGGAAAGTCAGCGACTGCTGCTGCTGTTTCAACAAATGGAACGCAGCAGACGAATGGTCACAGTACTACTACTACCACCACGAATCACCACCAGCAGGTGAACGGCACCAAGAAGCGTCTTCTGTGGTCTTCGCTGACCAATGGTCACAGCAATGGTTCAACAGCAGCAGCAGCAGCAGCTGTTTCAACTAATGGGCATGGAAGTCGAGGTGGCTATCTTAAAAATGGCTACAGTCAGAGCAATAAAGTGACAAATGGCGCAGCAGTTACGACCAACGGAAGTGCTGCTGCTGCTGCTAGCCCACTATCACCACCGTCACCCTCGCCAACCTCGGCTATCACCCCCACGACCACGGCCACTTCACCACCGGCGCTCTATCCGAGCAACATCGTCAAGAAGCTCGTCAAGTCGCATCAGTCGAGTGCGAATGGGGCAAAGTCAACTTCCGTTGCGCCCATCAGCTCGAGCAGCACCGTCGTCGTCGTCTCGAGCAGCAGCAGCAGCGGAGCAACAGCGGTTGCCTCGAGCACCGAGGTGACTACTTCCGGTGCTAAATCAGGCGCAATTGGTTCAAACGGAACCGTACGGCACTACCCGTCGCCAATCACCCACAACTACGTGCGCTCCAATCCGCTCCTCCTCACCGCGCCCCTCCCTTACATTCGCAAGGCAAAGTCGGTGGAGGCGCTCTCGGTGCTCGGTTCGCACTTTTCCGTTTCCACTTCCGGTGAGGAGGAGGATCCAAAGGATTCAGAGGAGGGTGAAAATGTCGCCAAACCAACGTCGGCGATGACGGCTGTAGACGGCGGCAGGACAGGAAATAGGCTGCTGAAAATTGGTGGTGGTGGTAATCAGCCAGCAGTAATGCTGCCTGCCAATGACGAGCCACTTTGCTATCATGAACAGCAGCAGAAGGAGCAATCGCCACCACCAGTTCGAAGTAATGAGCATGACGACTGTACAGCAGCAGCAGCCATTGATCAGCAGTCAGCCATTGTCCGCTCCACTGGTGCAACTAGTACAGCGACGAACAACACAATGGTCGATAGTATTTCGTCTACTGCTGCTGACGAAACAGTGCTCGATGCAACAACTAAGGTGGTTGATGAGAATGGAAAAGAAGAAAAGAAGGAGGAGGAGGTAGGAGAAATGAGTGGGCGCCTCAGTGCTGTTGTTGCTATTCACGGCTCGGAAGAGCTCGATGAAGAGGTAAGAACAGCTGCTCATGGCCTTGATGTACAGCCGTTCACCACCACCGCTAGCACTGCATTGAACATCGGCCCATCATCATCATCCTCCTCACTGCTCAATGACAGTGGCATTTGTGAGACGCTGGAAAGCAGTAGTGCTTCGATGATGATGGCGATGAATGGCGACAATTCCACTGCCGTACCAGTACTGTCACCACCGTCACCCCAACCATCATCATCATCTTCAGTCTTAGTCTCAGCCAGTCAAAGACGTCTGCAGCCGCAGCAGCAGCAGCAGCCGTTGTCGTCCATCAGCGACAGTGAGATGCCCAAGCCGGACACGGTGAAGACGGTGAAGAGGCTCTTTGAGTCGCCAAACGGAAGCGGTGAGGGTACTGCAACCACGACGATGGTTGTCTCGCCTACGCCCACGCCCACCACCACAACTTCTTCCCTTTCCTCGCCAGTCAAATCTAGTCCCAGTGATAATGGTATTAATCATCATAATGGTGATAGTAGCTCCTCTTCAGAGGTTGGTCCAAAGCATCCCAAAACCATGAGAGCAGGTGGTGATGAGTCATCGGTGATGATGAAAACTTCGAGAACTCCGCCGGCGATTCCCAGTCGAGCTCCTGTCAGATTGCCTCTAAAATCGACGACCATAGTCTCCTCACCCTCCAAACCAGCCATTCCGCCTCGTCGAACTCCGGTCACCACAAATAGCCATCACCCTCATCACCCTAAGGCACAGGCACCACCACCGCCACCGCTTCCATTCAGTCGATCCACTCAAAGTAAGTGTTTATCACCATCAGTTGTTTTCCTTTGCTCTCAATTTACAGTTGCATTTCTTATTTTTCTTTTGCCTGGCGCTAATGACCATGTCATAATCAATTACCGAGGCAGCATAATAGCTGCCGGCAGTAGTAGTGGTAGTAGTGGCAGTGACTTCTACGCCCACCTAATCGACCAGTGGAATGTCTGTTTGTCTGTTAATCATTTCATTTCAGTCAGTTTGTTGCTGTTAGTCGGTCTTTGTTCTCTCTATCTTTCTCTCACTTTATTTAGCTTCTGATGATATCTGATCAGCAAAAGTAGCAGCAGCAGTCGCATTTACGCCTTCCAGGAGTAGTTTAATTAAAGCGAAATGAAGCGAGGCGAGCTTTGTGTATCAGTTCAGCTCAGCTGGGCTGCTCATCTCTTTCTCTTCACTTTACTTTTCACAGTTTGCCACTGCTGGAAAAAGAGTTCTCCTTCTTTTTCTTTGCTGCTGCTGTCTTACAGTTGACTATTAGCGGACTACTCGATAATTGCCGCGTATCGTTTGGCTGCTGCAGAAGTGTAGAAGTGACTAAATAAATGCAGGGACTGAGAATGTGCTGCAACAAGCTTGACTTCTGCTGTTTTTGTTGGCCGTGCTGGACACATGAGCAGCAGCACACTCGAATTAGCCTGCTCAATGAACTAGAGAGGGAAACGAGTAGTTCAGTGGAGTTGAAGAAGCTACTGTCTGTCTGCCTGCCTAACTGCCTAACTGTCCAACTGACTGACTGACAACTGACGGCTGCAGTTTTT